ATTGGTGAGTGTGTTTCTTTGGCTCAACTGTTGGTGGGGGAATTGGATTGGAAGGTGGAGGCTGAAAATTTAATATTGAAATTGGATAGGCTTGAATGGGATTTCTTGTTGAAAGTCTTGTCTAGCTTTGGTTTTTCTGCATTATTTGTGCAAATTATTGCAAACTGTTTGGAGAACTAGCATATATCTGTGTGTGTCGATGGGTTAAGGAGAGGTTTCTTTCCTACCTCTAGGGGATTGAGGCAAGGGGATCCCATATCTTCTAGTTTGTTTATATTGACTGAAGAGGTTTTAAGTAAGGGCTTAAGGAGAGTTTACCAGAAGGGTTTGGTGAAGAGGTTTCATATGGGAAGGGGAGCTATATTGGTTAGTCATCTATTTTTTTGCAGATGACACCTTGATATTTCTAAGAGGATATAAGAAGTCTTTAGAGAATTTATTGAGTTTTCTACAAATCTACAAGTTAAATTCTGAGCAGAAGGTTAGCTTGCAGAAAAACACTTTGTTTTGTTCCAAGCACATTCCAATTGAAAGAATGAATGCTTTGTCTGTTATGGCAGGCATTCCAATTAAACAATGCCCTTTTACCTACTTGGGATGCCCCATCATCAAAGGTAGGACTAGAGTTAGATTTTTTGAAGATTTGCTGCTCAAAGGTTAAGTAGAAATTAGAAGGTGGTATGCTAAGCTTCTTTCAATATGGGTGATATTAGTGCAATAAGTTTTGAATGTTGTACTTGTGCATTTGTTGGCTTGCCTTAATCTGTCCAAGACTATAATTGGGAACCTTAATTCCCTTTAGGCTGGGTTTATATGGTCCAATAAGCTAAATGAGAGGAAAATGCATGGGTGGCCTTGGATAAGATTGCAAAACCAAGAGGAGAGGGAAGCTTGGGGTTGAGAAAGTTTGAAGAGCTACAGACTGCTTTTAGAATGAAGCAGGTGTGGAATATTCTGCAGAGGTCTTCTTTGTGGACTAAGGTTTTTGCAACTAAATTTTTTAGGGGAAGGCATATACTGACGTGTTTGGGAAAAGGACATGCAAAGAGCTTTGAAATGTTGAGACATTATATTGAAAAAGTGGTCAATGGTTCAAAGGTAGTGGTAGGGAATGGAGAAGCTACGGATTTTTGGTGTGATAATTGGTTAGGGGAAGGCTCTCTTTTGAGTAGGATTGAGGGGATTCCACAAAATTTTCCTATAGTTGCTGATCTGGTTAGGAATTCTCAGTGGCAATTGAGTGAGGTGGAGTATCTGTTGAATGGTCACTTAAAGAAGTAGTTATTGAATGATGCTGTTTGTGTACCTAGAGTTGTTGATAAACTGATATGGCGGAGGACAAGCTGTGAGGTGTTCACTGTCAGATCAGCTTGGCTGGAGGTTAGGCAGATGGGGGGGTGGTGAATGAAACTGCTAAGGCCATTTGGAATGTTAAGTTGGTATGTTGGCAAATACTGAGAAATGCTCTTCCATTGGATTCTAATATAATTAAGTCAGGAATTCCATTTGTGAGTAGATGTTGCTTATGTTTTAAGAGCTGTGAAAGTGATGTGCATTTGCTGGTGAATTGTGATTATGCTATGCTCATTTGGAATAGATTGGCTGCTATGATGGGGTTCCAACTTATTGCTGGAGAAAATCATTTGGTGAGATTTAACAGGACGTGCAGAGTCATTAGAAGACAGTCTGAGTCATGGACTGCTGAGAAGTATTGCTTTTATAGTATACTGACAGATTTGGAAAGAAAGATGTAGGAGGATCGCTGGTGGGGGTCAATTGGTCTTCTATGCTGTTTTTGTGAGAATTTATAATGTGCTCAAATATCAAGTGAGGAATGTGAGAGCAAGGGTGCAGGATAATGAGAGGGGAGGGGCTGTTTTGAGTATGTTAAAGATAGAGGTGTCTTGTCAGGTTTGTGATGAAATCTGTGTGGGTATGTTGGTCTTATCCACCTTCTGGCATTCTAAAACTGAATACTGATGGGGCTGCCAAGGGTAACCCTGGTGAAGCATGAGGGGGCTGTTTTGAGGAATGAATGGGGTGGCGTAGTGTTAGCTAAATCCTTTTACTATGGTGTGTGCATTAACATGGTTCCTGAGTTTAGAGCCTTGTTGGATGGGTTAAAATTGGTAGAGAGATATAGTTTGTTTGTGTATAAGCTATAGATTGAGTCTGATTCTATGGTGTTGGTAAACACTATCTTGGGTAAGTGTGAATGTGCCTGGCCTTGTTTGGGATTCCTGCATCAGATTAGGGGGTTGTTGAGACAAGTGGAGTTCCAGGTAGTGCATGTGTATAGAGAGGCTAGCCATGTTGCTGATAGGTTAGCTAATCAGACAGTTATTGAGCAGGATTCTGCAACTTTTCCGAATCTTTGCAGCTGCTTGTTGCTGCAAGCATGATGCTGATGCAAGATCAACGGCAATTGTCTGTGCTCAGGATGAAGAGGTTGGTGGTATTTGACGATAAGGGTTAATAGATTCTGGGCAGTGGTGTCAGAACCTACTTGGGTTCTGATCTGGTGTAGTACACCTGGTGTGAAGCTGCAGCAAAGCAGCTACCTGTTGCTGTGAATGGGTTGGTGGTTTGAAGGAATCTTGATGTAATGCTATTGGCAATTGGGTGTTTTAAAGGATTAAAGCCAATAAGTTGTGATGTAAATGAGAATTTTCCCACTTTGATTTGTGTAATTTTTTGATTCATTCAACAAGATTTTTATGTTCTTTTTTTTAAAATAAAAAATAAAAAACGTATGTCCTCTTACTCCTACATTCAAAATTTTTTTTTTACAATTTAAGTTTTTAATGTTGAAATCACAATAAAATAGTCTTGCCATCAAGTCATCCACTCTCTTAAATTTGAGAAAATATTCATTGTAATAGTGATACCACATCAGTACTATCACTATTACATAATATCTCCGATTACTAATATATAGATAAATAAGGAAATATACCCCCACATAAATTAATAATTATCTCTTTATGTAAGTTAATAATTACTTACTTTTTTTTCACGTAATTCAATAATTATTCAAGTAAAATTCACCTTACCTATTTAATGTTTTATTATTGATTGATGATACAATGCAAACATGCTATATTTACTCCTTAAAATTGAAGTCATCCTCACTTAGTGTGTGTTTGGTATGGTGAAAAAATTGGTGGAAGGTAAATGGGAGAAGAAAAATGGAAGGGAAAGAAAAGGTTTCCACTGTTTGGTACCAAAGGAACATATGAGGAAGTGGAAAATGGGATGAAATCTCTGTCCTTCTGCCCCCCATAAATTTTCAGCCCAAATTTGTGCGGAAGAGTAAATGGAAAAAGTGAAGGCAAAGACAATAATTTTTTAATATAACATTTTTACCCTTTACTTATTGAATGTATTTCATTTTGAATTCGCACTGACCGATCACCAGAAGATACAGCCACAATAATAAACTCACTATATTATTAACCAAAGTGTTATATTATTAAAAAAATCAATATATTTATCACATAAACTCACTGTTGTATTCACTGTTGTATTTGCTACTCTATTATTTTTGGATATAGATCCATTTTATTATTTTTACAAAATAAAAGAATTTTGAATCTTTTAAGATTAATGGAATTGATTCATACAATAAAAAATTTTACACAAATATAAAATGGTACAATGGTCATTTTTATTTTGAGGGTATTATGATAAATTGAACTTATATTGGTTTTCTTTCTTTTTATTTTTCTTTTAATACCAAATAATAAAAAATTTATCTCTTGAACTTTTTGCTGATGCACAAAATGACTTTGCACACCACCTGTCAAGTGATTAAAAATAAATGCATTAATTTAAAGTAAAAAGAGATGAATGAGACATGATTTATAGTGATTCGATCAACGCGATCTACGTCTACTCTTAAATGGCTTTGGTCGCCGAGTACTTTTATTAACTCAAGGGTAAAGGGAGCAAAGAGTACAAACTTGAGAGGGAAAGAAGAGTCGTGCTCAGGTAGGAGTGTGATCCTGTCATGCCCCCAAGTGTTGGTAGGACTTATAATTTATAATCGCCCTCCTAACAGATTTGGGCGAAGTGTTAGCAATTAACTGGTTAGTTTGTTGGATTTGGTGAGCTGTTCTCAATATGCATGGTAGTTACGTGTTCTCCATGAGATTCGGTCAAAGGATGAGGTGTGGTGTTGACCATCTCCAGAACAGTAAGAATAAGGCTTTGAATGATTTTACTTGCTCTCTTAGTTTCTTGAGCTGTTGAGTTTAATTAGATTGATCACACTGATGAATTTAACCGAATTGATTAGACCGGGCTGAATTTACTAAATTTCTCAGAATGGAACTATAAATTTGAACCGATCTTATAACATGAATTGCGCCTTTGACGTTGTCCCGTCACTTTTCGTTCTTCGTACCGAATAAAAAAAAGGAATAGAGTAACTCTATTCTTCACGAAAATTCATTTTCCTTTATATTTTCATCGCTCCTATTTTTTACCATTTTTACTAAACAGAGCGTGATAAGCAAAAACCAACATGAGTGGACCAACCCAAAAAAAAGAAACCGCCTTTGCTAAAAGAAACTTTGAATTTCCACCCTGAAACAACTGTCCTCTCATGGCTGGACAAAACTCCAACCAGAAATTCCTACACTACCTGAACATGAAGCAGCACAGATCCTCTCTCTCTCTCTCTCTCTCTCTCTCTCTCTCTCTCTACATTAAGTCGGTTGGCTAATAAGAGCAGAGACAACCAATAAGTTGACATCAATATTAGCTTTTGTGCTTTGTCTTGATCAGAAACAAACGAGACTGATCAGAAAAAAAGTTGGCTTTCCAATATCCAAAGTGCACTATCTTCATGTGCTGGCCATGGCGGTTCGACTGACATGCTGAGATCATATGAGTATGAAAACAGAACCTTCACCTCTAAGAAAATTCGAACTCCTAAAAAATAATCATTTAAGAGAGAAGACGACATGCCTAACATGAACAGAACAACCTGAAGAAGCAATTCTCAGGTCACCGACTCACCATCGCTGGAACCATTGCTATATATATGGCGACTTGTTGGCATAACAGCCCTCCAAGGCCAGATCAGAACATGGCTTCCCCAGCAGAGCCCACTGTTCGGGAGATTTTCACCGCCTTCTTGGAGGGTTGGCTTGTCAGACAAGAAGCCTTCCTTGAAAAACTGCAAATCCTTTCATCAGTACCATTGGATGTTACGGAGGAAAAGGACGAAGAACGTAGACATTTCGTCGAACGGATTCTAGCTCACTACCAACAGTACTACGAAGAGAAAATCAAGGCTGCTAAGGAAGACGTGTTTCTCATGTTCTCTCCGCCATGGTTGAGTTCTTTCGAGCGCGCGTTGCTATGGATTTCTGGGTTCAAGCCTTCAATGTTGTTTCCACTACTAAACGGCTTGGTGGGTGACTTTAAGTTATCAGCTGAACAATTCCAGAGGATTGAGATGGTGAAAGCTGAGACTAGAAGGGAGGAAAGAAAAATAGCGGATGAAATGGCGAGGATTCAAGAAAGTGTGGCGGCGCCACCGATATTTAACTTCATGAGAAAGATGGGGAGGCTGGTGGACGGCGAGGTTTCGGAATTGAACACGGCGGTGGAAGGTTTGAAGGCGGCAATGGTGGTGGTGATGGGTGATGCGGATAATCTTCGTGACTCGACGGTGAGGAAGATTGTGGAGATTCTGAATCCATTACAAACTGTCAAGATCTTGGCTGGTGCAGCTGAGTTTCAGCTTCAAGCAAGAAGATGGGGAATGCAGAGAGATTCAGAGAGAAGGAACACCGAGTTTGAATGAAGTATTTAGAGGTTTAAGTATTAGTTTTTTTTTATGTTTCATGCTCTTTAAATAAGTGGATTGCATGAGAAAGTGTGTCTGCGTTTGAATGTGCTGCTAGTAGTGTGCACGGCGAGAGAGAGCACTTTGTCTACTTTCTTCAAGTAATCAAGCGGACAAATAAAGGTTGATTAAAGCATTTTATGTTGGAAAATGCTTCTTGAAATTTTAAAAAAAATAGACTTAATTAATTACAATTATTCAACAGTCAAGAGTGCTCGAATCAATTTACACGTATATCAACTAATTTCCACTACGATTCATTCAAAAACAGGACATCTACGCCTTAAGTAGAGTTCCAGGGATCAATCAATTTGTTTGGATTTTGCACCTCAGCTCTAAGATGTTCTGGCCTCACAAGATTTTGGACTTTATTTGGGCCGTATCTCGTCGTCAATTCTGTCTCTACTTTTACTTTTTATTTGGGCTTGGCCCAGTCAGTGATGGGCCAATTTATGATTTGAATTGCGTGGCTACATTTTCTACCGGTACTTGTGTGCAGATACCCTTTACCAACAAAATAGTTATATTTCAAACAATTGTATATTTTTACAACAAAAACTTTTGTGGAAAAAATATCGATTTTTGCAAGGAAAGGCCACAATTTCGTGTTTTTTTTCTACAAATAGAAAGGTTAGAAGTAACTCGGTATGAGATCTTGATCCCTTTCAATATATATTTTTTGCTAATAATAAACTATCTAGCACGTATAGGGGAACTGATAAATAATATAAAATCCAATTGAGCAAATAATCGGCGTTTTTTATTTATTTATTAGTAAATGATTTCACCATAACAACAATGTTACATGGTGTAACGATTACACTAAATATTTTTTCCGACACCTTAGAGTGGCTCGAATAAAAAGATTTTAGATTTTTACTATTTTGAAATATCAGTTTTGATTCTCACAAGAAACGTTTAGATTAAATTGACAAACATAACTTTTAAGTTATCATGTATATCTCGAATTTATGTTTTGGTCACGAGTTCATAAAATAACTGATTAGAATAATGATAATCACTTGAAGTTCTTATCCTTACCTTATTAACAAAAAGGAGTAGTTGTTTTTGCATGTTAAAGCTTAGGAATATGTTGTCTAAAATAACGTTTTTAAAATTGTGCCGACTATTTTTTCGAATTCGGAGTTGACTCCAAAGATCCGAGTCATTTTAAACCACCATGCTGATGCATATAGAGGAACTGACCTTTAGAGAGTATGCAAAATATTGAATCTAGTACCTCTAAACGAATGATTGAGAATGTTTTGGTAGATGAAAATTACATACCTTCATAATGGAGATTTTGTATCTTCATACAGAATCAGTAAGATGGGTTGGTTTTACCAAAAAAGTGAAGTTTTTCGGGTGAAGCTATCTCCTGTGCTTGGAGTTTTATTAGTAACCCTGCTGGTGGACAAGATAATCCCACAACTTTGCACGGGAGATTATCCCTCAAGATTGGTCGAACTTGAATCTGTGGTGACAGCAAAGGTCCGTAGTAGGGAGAATAATGGGTTATAATCACACTTTGCTTACTCAAATTGAGATTTTTATGTTACTTCACCGATTTAACTATTGAATTTATCACTTTGTTTCCTTAACTATAATTATTAGTTTCACTTGACCCTAGAGATTAGTGCTGGCCATTCCGGATCATGCTAAGCCATTCGAGATACATACCAATGCTTCGGATTATGTGATTTTATTCTACTTTATCATGACGCGTTGATATTTTATATCCAAAAGATAATAAATATTTGTATTTTGTATAATGCGAAACTAATTTAGTTAATTGAAGGGTTAATGTCAGAAATTTAATTATTAATGGGACAAAGTGATATGAACCTCTTAATTGAAGGGGCAAAGTGACATTTATCCGAGAAAATATTCAATGCAACTGTGACATTACGTGATGATTTTTGTATTTACTCCTATAATAGGTAGGATGGAATTTAAGCCTAAATCCAAATTACTAGAAGATTGCCACATCACTTTTGTATTTATGTAGCCTTGCTCGTCCTTAAATAGGTCAGACATTTTCTTTGGTGTATACATCCAAAAACCTCAACATTATTTTTTAACTCAAATTTACTCCATGATTGATCACCCATTGTTATAGATGAAGGGTCATAGCACCCCCAAGGAGGTTCTTTAATTCAAATCTCATCAAGCCAGCAAAATTAAGAAGTTCAAAATACTCCGAAAAATGTTATTTGAACTTAATTTATTGAACATATTTGCGGATTTAATACAATATAATAATTGAATTGACAGAGAGATTTAATAAATATTGAGACACGTTGTTAATTTAATAGTAATATTTCGTTAGGACATTAAGTTAAGTTTAATTAGCATTACATAATTTAGTTATGTCTTACCATTTATATGGTATGGTTGGCATGGGTAGCTCAAGGAGTAATAAGAACGAGTCANATTAAGTTAAGTTTAATTAGCATTACATAATTTAGTTATGTCTTACCATTTATATGGTATGGTTGGCATGGGTAGCTCAAGGAGTAAAAAGAACGAGTCGTAAATTCAGATGTCTTAAGTTCGAATTTTGACAATTTTTTAAGACTAGATCATGAGAGATTTATTCCTCGTGAAGATTAATCAAGGTACGTGTAAACTGGCCTAGACACCCCCGACCTTTAAGAAAGAAAAAAAAAAGTTGTTTAACACCACCCCTCTACGAGTGGCCACAATCAGTGACATTTCTTTCTTCTTTAATAGGAAAAGTTAGTCTCAATTATTGAAGCACAAAGTGGACTTCGGTTTACCTTTTAAAAGAACTTATATCAAAGTTAATAGTTAGTAGTTTGGTCTTACATTGAACATATATAACTAGGCTTTAGGTAGACCCTGTGAAGCAAATCTTTTGCTGATGGCATTTGATGGTGATGCGACTCATACCTAAGAAGAGGATATCCATAACCCCTATCAGTTTCTAGACGGTTAATCGAGTCGAATTTTATAAATTCGAGTCAAATCTGTTAAACTTATTTTTCTAAATGAGCTTTAAAAAATATTTAAACTTGGCTCGTTTTAAAAACGAGTCAACTCCCAACCAAGTCGGCTCGACTATTTTACATATAAACGAATCGAATTTTACGAGTTCAAGCTAAACTTTTTTAGGCTCGCTTTCTAAACGAGCATAAAAAATTATTCAACACAAGCCGAGTTCGAGCCGAGTCATCTCCGAACTAAACCCGAGTAACTCAGCTCAATTATCAGCCCTACTTATAACCATATCATCATAACCACTAATTCACAACATGGTTTAGAAAACTCAACAAGATAGTTTGATTGAAAATATGTATTTTAGTTGTTATTGTCTCGAATATTCAAATTCAACTTTTATTGAACAATTTCAATTTATTTGACGTGTACATTTGCGAATGATTGTACATACTGTAACTTTACATTATAACTAGCTATAAATCCAAAAAATTGTGGTTGGAAAACATTTTCCGATATACGAAAAATATTAAGAGAGGATAAATCAACCAAAATTGTCAAACAATACGTCTTGCGGATTGCATGATTGCAACATATTAAACAATAATATCACATAGGTAGCATGGTGACACTGAAGACAGACTTTAGTGTACTGATAAAGTTATTTTATAGTGACTTAGAAGTCATGATTTTGAAGTACGGAAATAATCTTTTTATTATAAGGGTAAAATTGTGTATATCGAATCTTCACTGAACCCTGTAATAATAGGAGTTTCATACATTATGTAATTAATTTTATGTAGTATGGTGGCATCTTCCTTTAGCCATGACAAAAGTGCTATGGCTGCTAATTTTGTAGCTATTGTGGAAAACATAGAAAGTGAGGTTGAATCGATCACGCAATGAAAAGGCTCCAATCAACTATGCTATTTATTCTGAGTCTCTTTCCTTTGATTTTACTAGTGAAAGAGTTCAAACTTAGATGACTGGTCAAACATATTGAATCAAGTGGGGTTTGTGTGTGAAAATTTCATAATAGGGGGATACACCAATAATTCAGTGATTGTTGTG